TAATTGTAATAAGAGATTTGTGCTTCGACGTCACATCAAATATGTACATATACAAGTCCCGGAATGTATCGGTCCACACATGTGCTAGGCTTCTGGCATATAATTGTATCTTATCTAATGGTATTAGTACTAATCACGACGTGACGCATCTAATATCGTAACATCGAGCTACAAAGTCCCGGAAGTGTATAACGTCACACCATGGTGGTCCCTTTAAGGCTTCTGCATTATAATCCTGTTACTTACTTTATGGTATTTAGTACTAATAAAGAGGGAGACGCACAATTGAATGGCTACTTCCCGAGTTAATTTCGAGAAGTCGCTCCCGAGGAAATTCGTGGCGTCGACGGGTGGACAGCGAGGAGTATCCCTTCGTACGCGCCTCGGGACAAGGTTCGTTGGTGGTCTCTCCGGACCCCCCCAAGACGTCGGACCGTTCCCCGGGGAGTCCTACTCACATTATGTTTATGTTACTACATGGTTCCTTCTCAGTAGAAAACCACCTGGTCTTAGACTTAAATTTTCTTACATTATAGAATTACTTGGGCTAAAAAACACCTTATTACACAAGGTTAAAGCGGCAACACATCGTAGGTAGATAGATCGCGATAGATAGCTAGAGATACGATATATGGATGATTAGATTCAGATGATAGATAGATAGATGGAATCGTCATAGGATAGATAAACGATAGGGCATCTTTAGTATGAAAAACCGTCCTTTTTCGTGACGTTTTTTACTAGTACCCCTACTATAATTAGGTGTTAAAAAAATACACTTTTTCGAGATAAAAAGAGTATTTGACGAGACACGACGTCCCGTGGAGAAAGTGGAGAACAGACTTTTGGCGTCTCGGATCAGACGAGACTACCAATCGACCGCCCGAGACAACACTAACCAGTTGGCGGAATCTCTTCCAGCCGTTGGGGAAATTCGGGATAGTCACATGATTACACAAACTCGCCGATCGGTTATTCTTCGCGCTAACAACGTATATAACTACAAGTAATACAGGGCAAATGAGGAGAAGAGAGAGGAGGAGGAGAAGAGGAGGAGGAGATCGGAGTAGGAGGGTGGTTTTCTCTGACTCGGGGAAAGAGGGATTCAAAAAAAAAATATTTTATTGACCGTAGCTATATTTTGGACTTGTCCTTTCAGGGGTTTTTTTAACTTTAACTACTTAATAAATAAATAAACATTTAAGAAAGGACAGTTATAAGCACTAGAAAACGCTAATTGAGCTGGTACTAACTAAAACAAAGGGGGGGGGCGGAGTAGGTATAATGTTATATATGATAACAAATTTACTACTGTGTTTTGTGTTAACTTGTCAAATAAATGGTTTAAAGGATTATTGCAGTTTTTAATTTCTTGGTAACGAAAGGAAATAACTAAGTATGAAATAACAAATCTTTCCAGGTTGTGCTGTTAATCCGTTTTTTTTTTTTTACGTGTGTTTTTTTTTTGGTTGTTCACTCGTACATTCTAGATTGCGCATTTCGTATCCTGCCAAATTATCCTCTCGTTATTTTATAGCGTCTTCTTTTGGCTTGCGATGTTTGTAACCTCCTTTATGTTTTTTTAATTATAATAGGTGCGGAGTCGAAATTTAGGTATATTTATCGTTTACAATAATAATTTACTTGGTTAAGAGGGGCGTCCCTGAGACAACACATGTTTTCCTCCTGAGCGACCTACGACTTACTCAAACCAGAAACCAAAGTTAACTGGGCGACTGTCAATTTAACAAGAACGCTCAGAACAGGGACCAAAAGTCGTGTGTGTGGTCGGACGCTTTCAATTTACTAGCGGTACCGAAGTGGGCCGGTCGAGAGTCCCGGGATGATTTTTAGTCCCAGTCCACCACTGGCTACATGACTGTATGATCGCCCATATTGACGCACCTAATTCCTAAACTTCTAACAGATACAACATAAACCGATCCTTCAGCCTCATATGAGCTCTCAGACACGTTCAAAATTAAACTGTCATCGCTGTCTGAGCTTGCTGCTGTGTGCGCCATCGTGCGTTTACATGCAGATGCTGGGATCCTGAACGGTGCAGCTGGAGCGCTTGGCCCGCAATGACGTCACACATAATTTGGCGGGACTTGAAGAATCCCCGAGAAGATCCAGAATATGGTCAACATTGAAGGGCAGATTAATGGTTATCAAAGTACAAATATCCAAAATCAGTTCAGTAACGGTTTTCAAGGGGACAATATTTACTCAAATGTATGGGTTTGGATGATGGGGGAAACTCGTGTCACAGGCTCTTTAAGGACTTTCTCTGCTTCCATGCACCCTTTGAAACATCGACATTATTATATAAAATCCTAGATTAAAATAAAAATTGAGAAAAAATACAGAATTTACAAAAAACGTCTGAATTCTGAGTATAAAGTCTGTTTCTCTTGAATGAATCCTGGCTTCTTTATCACTGTGTTTACACCTAATTCCCCACTCTCCTTCAGTGGAGTATGACATGTGAAGCCACATTACGCTCTTGACCTTATCCCCTTCTTTATGCATTGGGCCCTTGAGCAAGGCATGGCATGGGAAGGGTGCCCCGGGGCCCCTCACTGCAGCTTGTATGTGATTGTTCCCGCTGACACGGCTCTGGAGGGGAACATAAAGGGTTAATGGGCTCCCAGAGGGACCCTCAGCGGAGGAAACACCCGGGGGATCTGACCCTCTGACAGGACGTCCGAGCATGATTGAATTCACTTTAGTTTGTAAAAAAAAAAGCATGTTTTTACCACTTGATGTCGAGATTATCGTGATTTATGATCCTGAAGTACGACCACAAAAAAGAATCAACACAACTTCTTTATTATTAGTCTTTTAGGTATTTTTGGGGCCTTTTTGAATGATTAAGAGAGTTGAAAGGGCACATATGGGCCGCCAGCTCTAACCAATGAGATACCTATGGCCCATTAATAGTCTTTTTTAACTAAGGTTCATGCATGTAAAATGTAAAAAAAGGAACAATTAATTTCCATTAAACATCTTAGCATTTGTTAAAATATGACCTTCACTTCATCAAATGTGATATCCAGTGCCGGACGAGGTAGATATAAGTAGTTGTTCCAAAGTGTACTCTGTTTTAATATCATACTTAAAGTGGACCTATCATGCTATATTTGAATAATATAGTGTAGGACCATACCTATATAAGGTATATTTATACGTTTTATTTTTCAAAATACCAAACAGATCATGCATTTTATCCATTCCTCATTTCACTCAATTTAACACTGCCTTTCATGCTCGGATTCAGTGAGAACAGCACCATCTGGTGGCCTGAAATATGTACTACATCGTCTCCAGCGCTTTCGAACTGCAATGTCCGTGGCTGTCTCCTCCTGATTGGTGGAGTTGGCCCAATAGCCGTAGCGCCACCGTCCTGACGTCAGAAAAGTGTTCAAATCTGGATCAGTCTGTATCAGATCCGTTGCAGCCCCTTTTTAAGAGATATGGGTATGGAGGAAAATAGAGAGGGTTGTGTTTTCTGACACTTGGTGAGTTCCCTGGAGACACATATTCATGTATAAAAGACGTACAAAAGTGCATTTTGCATGATAGGTCCCCTTTAATTTTTAATGAC